AATTATTTATTTTGCTGTGAGTGCGAGCCGAAAGGATACAGATACAGAGATACTACATACACATGGACGCAGTTCAGATCAACCACACAACCAGCACACCGGGAACGGCAACAGCGCAATGATGAAGGACAGCCAACAAACTGTTTGGCTCAATGTGGCGTCGTGGGCCAATTCCCCTGTTACGCGAAGCAGTAGTGCAGATCGAGATCGTAACCACTGGCCACCCAAACCGTTCATCCCTGAACTGCACCTGCACGCACGTGATTAGCTACAGTGACAACGGCAGCCTACCTCATAAGTCCTACATATAGATCTCTTAATTAAAGTGAACCAAGGAATGTGCGACGGTGCACCGTGCCATCTGCCATGCTAGATCGGGAACTACTACTGCCTTGGACGTGAGGGCACGCGATCTAGTAAAAAGCAAGCAGCGCACGAACGCGACGCGACCGCCGGCCGGTGCGCTCCAAGCTGCCGCTCTGGCCGAGGTGCTAGCGGCCACGGGGTACGTGGCGAGCACACATGCGGATGTCTCATGGTCTTCGCTACTGGCGACGATGTAGCTTTGGCTCCTTCGATGTCGCGGTGATCGAGTAGGTCTGCCGAGCCGGATAGGCACCGCTCGCGGGCGAGTGGGGGTGTGGAATTGGATCGGCGATGTTGGATGGATCGTGGGAATATGCATGGCGGATGGGCACAAGGGACAGGGAGACAGGCTTTTCTTGGCAGCATCGTGCCGGATCCGCGAGACTTACCGCAGGGCAGCGTGCGTGCGACCGAGAACCCGAGGCCGAGGGCGAGACGGCGGCCACGCGACGTTACTCACTGTGGACTGTGGAGGCAGCAGAGACAGTGTTTGGAGCGAGCGACTGTGACGGAGCCTTTGCCTGTCGGAAAATTCAGATTGGAACGCGGTAACCAATCACCAAGGCACGGCTAAGCTAAGTGGCTAACTATGATGTTTTTTTGAGCTACTACACGTGACAGATGCAATCAGTGGGAAATGGAGAGCCAAGCAATCATGATCCACTCATCTTGTCCGGCAACCGGCGCTTAATATCTTCGCTCTCGAGTTCTTCCTTACAGAGGCCGGCCCACATCGTGGACGGATGCCTACTATACATTTGTGCACGAGTGCAGTAGTGAACGTTGAGATGGGTAGATGAAGCCGTCAATGGCCGTCGTCTCCGTCGAACTATGGATATGGATTTGGTCGTCGGTGGAGAGCTCAAGAATGTGCTTTTTTTTTCAGCAGCAGCCACGGTGGACAGCTCATTGCTTGACGTAGCACGGAGCACGGTGGCGCCAAGATTGAAGAAGCGGGCGGGAGAACAGTCCAATTGTCCTCAGCTGCTTGGAGACAGGTGGAGTTGAGGACATGCATGATGGTTCGACTTCGCCATGTGCTAGCTAGCAAGACAGTGCAACGAGCCGAAGAAGGTCGACTATGGACCTCAACATCTCCGCATGGAGAAGCAAGGGAGAGGCCGAGAGGGCAACTCTAGAGGAAGGAGGGTGGCTGAACCGAAGGCGAGCTCGGACAGACAGATCGAGTGAGGCGTGACCGCGTGAGGGTGCCTTATTTTATTGACACTAACTTCAAATCTCCAGCAGCAACGGCGAGGCCACGGCGACAATGACAAGACAGGACAGAAGATACTGACGGCCTATTTGGCACGGATTCTGTCAAAAAGACCCTAGGCCATGTTTAGATTGAAAGTTTAGCACCACTTTCGTTTTATTTGGTAAATATTGTCCCAACGATCGTAAATTTTCAAAAGAACAATCTTTGATTTCACACTAAACCGTGTAATTAGTTTTTTTACCTACATTTAATACTCCATGCAACGGCTAAAATTGATGTGATGAAAGAACCGAACATCTTGATAGAATTTTGAAGGAACTAAATCAGGCCCTAGATATGGCCAAGATGAATACAGTCTTCGTTTCGTTTGGTTTAAATTTTATCGGCGATTGGTTTTTGTGAGAGGAAAATTTTCTCTCACACAAACCACCAAAGATTTTCTTCACGAAACCAAAGAACGATCTGAACCAACCAACCGAACATGCTGATAGAAGTTTGCTGATCATACCTTAGCGGCGAGTCTCTTCTAAAAAGTGAAAACAGGCTATTTTGTGCCCATTAGACTCTCTTCAACAGCGCCGGCAAAGAGCGACTCAAACACAAAATATATTGTGCACAGTGTTTTACGTCCCAAAAACACGCTCCAACAGAGGAGGACGCATCCAAAGCGCCCATTTTGGGTACCTGGCGAGTCGGAAGGCAAAAAAGGGTCGTCTCTCTCGACGACGCAAAAGCATAGCAGAGAGGGGGAGTTGAGGGGGGCTTCGGCGTGAGCTCCGTCCACCGCGCGCGCCTCCACCATGAGAGATCCCAAGCCGAGGAGAAGCCAAGCGGCCCCCACCCTCGCCGTCAGGTTGCGGAAGCACTCCACCTAGCTCCTCCTCCTGCTCTGGTTCGCCCTCTTCCTCCCCGCCACGCCGTCCGCCGCTCCGCCGCTCCTCCTTCCTCCGCTTCAAGCCCCGCGCCCTTGCCGCCACCGGCACTTGGCCATGGCCCCGTTCGGATCTCGTCTCGACCTCCTACCCGCTTCAACCACTAGGCGTGGCCGAGCGCTGCTGAAAGCGCGCGCGCCCTCTCTTCTTGGCCGAGGTGGCGGTGTTGTCCTTGACCCCCCCTCTTGCGGCTCGCAGAGGGGGAGGTATAATGGTGAAGGGCATCTCGATGTCGATGGAGGTGGCGAGTTCACCTTCACGTTGAGGTAGTCGCTGGGGTTGTACTTGTGCGGGTAGCTCCTCGGGAGGTAGAACCAGTGGGCGCTGGCGCCGCCGCCACAGCGGCGTGGCTGTCGCGACGACGAGGAGGAGGAGCTTGGACGGGCCATGGATCTGGATCGGCTCGGGCGACGGATCTGGCCCTGGCGCATGATGGGGAGTGCAGGGTGGGTAAATTTGGTCGGTTGTGGCGCTCGGCCCTCTCCGTGAGGAGCTCATGGGAGGAAGGCGAGGAGGGGGTGTCGGTGGTGGCGGAGTAGATCTAGTGGGGGGCGGGCGGGTGGGGACGAAATGACATGGGGGAGGAAGCGAGGGGCGGTGGTGTGGTTGCTCGGGTCTGTTGGAGAAGGCAGAGATTTGAGTCCGTGACCTTTTCACTGTAGGTGACCTATACTATTGAATGTGTATCGTGTTTGGGTTGTTTCTGTTGGAGACAGCCTTAACTCATATGGGCAGAGTCGGGCCTAGCCCGTCACCTTTTGTTTGTTATAAGGAAAAATCCACATTATCCCCCTCAACTTTTGTGAAAGTCTGTTTTTTCTCCTTAAACTCTAAACCGGGTAAACCACCAACTTTTAAAACCGTTTGTTTTACCTCCCTGACCAGTTATAAGCGGTTTTCAAAGGCGGTTTTATCTCTTTCTTTTTATTTATTTTGGCTGAATCTTTGAAAAATCATAGTAAATCACAGAAAAATCATAAAATGGAAAAGTCCAATTTTGTTGGACGCCACATGAGTAGATATACATAGTGAATATATAATATGGTATGCTTTAGTACACTTTTTTGCTGTAGCTTTAAATTTATAATTTTCTATAATTAATTCAAAGCTGTAGTTTCTATAGTTCAATTGTGGTGAAATTTTTATGGTGAACTAATTATTGTATGCTTGCACCGTTGTAAAAAATTCATAATCATGTATAACTTAGTTATAGATTTATTTAGGTGTATGCTTGTTAAAAAATATTTATAAATTTGGCTTATACTGATGTTTATGCTGTAGTAAAAAGTATTTGGGTCCTGTTCGTTTTGCATTTTTATGCTGATTTATTGTGAGAGAAAAATAATGTTCGTTCACTGAAAAGTACCATTGAGTAGTGTGCTGAAGAACAGCCTTTTGTTCCATCATGTGGATTTTTGCTAGCCACTTCCTATTCATTTCTTCAATTTGTTCACCAAATAATAGGCAAACCAATGGTGGTCCATTTAGTTTGCCCAGTTGTTTTTCCTCGAAACTACTCCATCCATTTCAAATTAGAAGTCGCTTTGGAACGGAGGGGAGGGAGTAATAAGTTCCAAGTACGACGAATGTTAGTTTCATTACAATGCAACAAAAAGGAAAGATCCCAATGGCAAGTCGAACTTCCAGTGTCCTATATTCATCGAAGTGAGAAACTGAGCTTCACATACTAACAAGGTGTTGCGTAAGCACCACCTGCACTAAAAGCACAGAAATCATTCTTTTTCGTCTTGTTGGTTCTCATGTAATGCCCAGAAAAAAAAAACAGTCTTATAATCTTGCCCAGGAAAAATGCGGACTGCTATTCGTAGATGATAATAATCGGAAGAACACGTTTCAGCAAATGCCTTCCGAGATGACGGGCCTAACTACATCAGAGGCCGAGAAGGTTAACAAAGATGGCCCAAGCATGTGGGTCGTCGATTGATTGCACACGCCCACTACATATCAATGGACGAACTGAACCGTAGCAATCCAATAGACAATGGATCCAGTTCTCTCCCGGCGACATCAAACAGAAAAAAAAAGATAATCAACTGTTTTCTCAGCGTTTCTCTTGCTCACCATAGTCAGTGATCAGTTCCAGTGCTAAACAAGCTTTTCAATCAATTTATTTTCCGGGGGGGGGGGGGGGGGTGTCCAAGGAACAAATTCAATATTGCGTAATTATCTCTTTGCTTTATTTGATGGGGGATACTAACAGGGTTACCAAATCACACCAAGCGAACTTCCAAAATCCAAAGGAGCAAAAGAACATCAGTGTTCACTCAAGCCAAGCCATGAAACAAGGACTCGCGCATGACAAAGGGAACATGCACTCACAAACCATGAAATGTAAAAGGGAGACTTCTAAAATCCGTTGGTGACAGTTTTTTGCACACGATATGATGGTTAGACAAGAACCATGAACAATCTTCAATTCTGAACTCCACAGAATAGCTCTGTAAGAGGAAAGATTGCATGTCTCAAGCTGCCAAAACTATAATCACAACAAGCAGCACGACCCCAAATATGACCATAAGCAAGCAAATCTGCCAACGAAAGGACTTGTTAAAGTGCAGAATAGACACAGCAACAAAGCTTCAGTAATTTGCATTAGTCTGAACTTACCAGGGACGAGTTCGATTTCTGAGTCTTCGCTGCTTTGGTTACCTCTTTCTTTGCGTCTTTGGTCACCACTTCAGAATTGTCAATGTTCATATCGATCTCCTCTGAAACAGGGACAGTGTACACATTAGCTAAGAAGCCAAAAATTAGGACATCATATGTACAATACAATGTAAAAACTTGCCGATTATAATTCCTTGGGCATGTACGAGGGTAGCAAGATCTTTAAACACTTCATGTACTTCACCAATCTGTTGTTGGATCTCTTGAATGGCTTGCTCCCTTTCCTCAATTATAGCTTCATTGAAAACAATTTCATTGTCCAATTGCAGCACCTCTTGTCTTCAGAGTAACATGGTTCATCAGAAAACTAGAAAAAAAAAGGAAATAGGATTCTACAAATTCTTGCTAGTGATGTCAAAGTTTGTCTCATATAACAGGTTTAGCATGAAGGTTATATCACAATGTGAGCCTCGTTGGATGCAAACATTATTTTTCGATCCACTGCCATAGTGCCATCAAACGTTATTTCTTTGCTAGTCTAAAAATCTCTATCTCTTGTGCAGACATATACAACAACAACAACAAAGCCTTTAAGTCCCAAACAAGTTGGGGTAGGCTAGAGTTGAAACCCAACAGAAACAATCAAGGTTCAGGCACGTGAATAGCTGTCTTCCAAGCATTCCTATCTAAGGCTAAGTCTTTGGGTATATTCCATCCTTTCAACTTTTATTGCCTCTACCCAAGTCAACTTCGGTCTTCCTGCCTCTCTTCACGTTACTATCGACTTAGGACTAATAAGGTCTCCGTTGCACATGTCCAAACCATCTCAACCGGTGTTGGACAAGCTTTTCTTCAATAGCTACCCCTAATCTCTCACATATCATCGTTCGAACTGATCCCTTCTTGTATGCCCGCAAATCCAACATAACATACGCATTTCGCGACACATGTTGAATAACGTAGGCCAACATTCTGCACCATACAACATAGCAGGTCTAATCGCCGTCCTATAAAACTTGCCTTTTAGCTTCTTTTATAGGCAAATTCACATGACAAGTCACTTGTACCGACTAATAAAATAGCGCAAGCCCTATAGCTTCACCACAAACTCATGGGCAAATATGCCATGGAACGTAAGGCTTAGTTAAACAATCCTGTGTTTTCAAGTAAATGAGCTAATGCAACAGTCAACAGAGTTTCAGCTGAGCTTCCACCTGACTACCAGCTAATAGCTCAATACTGACCTTTTTGATTGAGCAAGTAATGCACGCTGCTCAGGCATATTACCAGATTCAGAACTTCGGTCATCTGTAGTATAGCTGCATCGCAAAGACCACAATAACATACAGAAGATTAGCAGACAGCCGAGTCAAAGACAAAACAGCACAATTAAAATAAGTTTAGATTACACTAAGTGAAGCCCAATAAGTAAATTACAAGTCAATAGTAGGACCATGATAATGATATTGGGTAAAAAATAGGGCCATGATACAGAAGAAAAACATAAGTCAAAGGCTACACATCTGTTTATAGTTATCTGTGAAAGCATACACATTGACTACTGATGACATTCTCCATACACCAAAAAAGTTTTTTTTTTCTAGAGGAACAAAAACAAGGAAGAAGAGCTGCTTCACTAAAATGTCAAGTCAATAATAGACAATAAACAACTGAGTTTCTGCAAAAGCTACAGCAAATATTTCTTTCTTTCTCTCTGTGTGTGTGTGTGTTGGGGGGGGCTTTCATGAGATGTAATAAATTGCCAGGAACATTCTAGCAAACTCAAGTCAAGTGTGGCCTGCCTTTGTCAGCATGGTTCACTTACATAACTGCACTTGAACCTTACTCTTTTGAACAATTGTGGCAAAGTATTTATATTAACTAGCAAATAGCAGCAATCCATAATTCCATATAGCTCAACTTCTCATCTTATGAGTAACCTGTGTATCTAATGTAATGTATAAACATGTGCCAAACTAAAGAATTTTCATGACAGGAGAGAAAATGGAACACATAAGACGAATTTCAGTATGGATTGGTTTAATAATGAATGGAGTTACTTTGACTGAGCATTCTGGGGAACAACTGGCTTATATGCTGTCTCCCTCTGAATCGCAAGACTCTGAAGTTTCCTGAACTCCTCCATTGTCGCAGCAAAATCTTTGGCAAGCTTCATATCAGCTATCCTCTTGTCTGCCTGTAATAAAACACCAAAAAACCCTGAGTACTTAAACAGCTAAAATTGTACTATGCATGTACAAATGGAAGCAATCATAGACAAATTTCTGCTTACTACAATTGATTACTTCAACAGGCTTACTCATGCAAAAATGGCAATGATCAAACTGAAGGAGCCTAGATAGTTAGATAAGAAAGAAAACACTACTGACACTCGTATCAGTGCTCTTGTCTGCTTCAGCAGTCTTCTGGAGCTTATCTTTCGCATCCTTTGCTAATTGAAGAATGTTCTGACTAGTCTTATTCCTGCGAGGGAAACAAAGCATTAGATCATAACGCGACTTAGAAAGCGACATGAGTGAGCAAAGAAAGCAACATGTTGTTTAATAAGGCATGATTTAGCGATCCTATCGATCGAAAAGCAGACTAATTGCTCCAAACTTGAATTGGGCAAGGCTAACTAGTACTTCATCTAGCAAATGACGCAAAGGTTTATGCTGATCGCTGAATATGTAAAGCATAAGAGGGCTCGAGGAGAGACAGGTTATCACGAAGCGTGGGGGTGTCCTTGGGCGTGCCGAGCGAGTTGAGGAGGCGGCGGTAGGAGGCCACCGCGGTGGTTATCTGGAAGACGAGTGCCCGCGCGTCGTTGGAGCCCCCTCTCGCCTTCCTCCCGAGGGGCGCCCTGAGTGCCCCCGCCTCCAGATCCGCGAAGCTCATCGCCGATCCCTCTCCTTGCTCCGCCCCCTTCCGCCTTTACCAACGGCCACCGCGCCGGAACAAACCCCAGCCGGCGGATGAGGCGCTGGAGCAGAGCGTAGTTGGGGATAGACTTTCGGCTGTAGCTGTCGCCGTCGTCGGCACCGGCCAAGCGGGAGTAGTCTATTCCATGGATCGTGGTATTGCCACAGGTGGTGAGGTGAGGCGGTGGTGGGCGCCACCACGAAGCGGCACGAAAGAAACAGGAGAGGCCGGGACAGCGGGCGGCGGGCGGCGGGGGCCTCTCCGGTAGTCTGGTCTATACGGTCTCCCACTCTCCCACGACACGAATTTGGAGTAGCGACCGTCGCCGCTCCGCACTCGCACGGCCGCGTCGCGTCGCGCTGCAGCGAAAAGGCGACGAAGGGTGGGATGGACCGAGATGCGGGTCAGAATCGCTGGCGGATTGGATTTTTGGGAGTAGAATGAACAGGTTGGGCCGGGCCTATAGTGGAAAAGCAACGCATATTATGAATAGAACTCGGATATCAGTTAATCGAATATTGATTTTATTTATTTTCCATTTAGATATCTACTTAATTTACGTAATATAAAGTATATATCCTCTTATTGATAATTTTAGAAGAAAAATATTATTTTTCAAGTAGAGAGTAATGTATATAACACATGTAACACATACAAAATAACATATTCATCAAGTAAATATTTTATTCATTAAATACATATAAAAATTCGTTTGGTTGACTGATGCTGCTCTTCAGGTGATTGACCGAATGGTTGACTGATGCTGCTTCTCTTTTCCATGGCAATTCGTTTGGTTGGAGACGGTGATGGGTTATATGATGTGGTTCTTTGGTTGCTTACTTCCTCGTGGTAGCTGCAGGGATGCCGGTCGCATCCAGGGCTGGAGGTGGCATGCGATGGAGAGCTACCTTGTCCAGCTCTGCCTGCAAGCTGTGAGGTGCTGCTTTCGATCTTCCATTCCTTTTTTTATGTGGTTTTGTTTCATTAGTCGACACATGCTTTACCAGGCCACTAGGGCATCACGATGCTGCTAGATCACAGGTGCACAAAAAAAAGCACACATTTTTTTCACAAAAGGTGTAGGTTTGATGCTTATCTCACCTTACGTAGTGGTATTGTTCTAGGAGATGAATAAAATCTAGAATCTTGCCAGTACAGAGCATGATTCATGTGAAAAAGCTTCATAGTTGCTACTCTTTTTATCTACTAGATATATGCCAGTGCGTTGCACGGGGATACGATTTTTTGTCCACGTCTACTGTGAAGTATTTGTTCATTCTTAGAAAAAAAAAAAAATGATGAAAAGATTTTACATTGGCCACTTAAACTATTTTCAATCGCACTTTTTAGGCTTTCTGATAATATTCAAAATAATCGACGCCCATGCTAATTCTTTTGTTCTAGAGCGAGTACGGACCTAACATCGAGCCTCTTCCGGTCTACACAAGCATACTTATATTAGTGACTTTGGAGTTAACAATTTTCAGGCTTTCCAAACTGTTTTTTGAACATATTGTCTATGTGTTTTACATGCTCTTAGGCTTTCTGGGATTTATATTTCACACGCATTGACATGGTTACATTCTCTGGTCAAAAGGAACTTAACAAAATTTGGATTATAATTTTTGAGTTTGAATTTGATTTTATATTGATTTTATAAGTTTGAGTGAATTTGTGCATTGTTGGGGAGAAGACAAGAAGCTAACAAAACACTTTGTATTGGGAACCCTGAAGTCTATGTAAATTTGAGATGAGCTTTTACTATTCATTTTCTATTTATATGTCTTTGTATTTTTTCACCTGGAACCCTCAACTTTTTCCTATTCCTGCATCAGCTCCTTTGTGCAATTAGATCACGAACTCAGAGACTCCCCGCCTTCCAAAGAAAAACTTTTCCACTGATTGTATCATAATGAAGCTAATTTATTTGATTTTTCAGGAAGTTTTTTTTGGTAGGGAGGGAGGTTTTTTTGGTACTGATGAGGTAGATTTTGTTCTGAGTCCGATAGGGAGCTTTTTTAGGATAAAATTCAAAAGAAAAAATATTTCCACTAATTATATCATAATAAAGCTAATTTATTTGTTTTTTCAGGAAGTTTTTTTGGTACGGAGGGAGATTTTGTTTCTTTTGTGGTACGGATACGGAGGGAGATATTGAGTCAGATACGGTAGTTTTTTTTACGGGAGATTTTGGCCGGTCTTCCTAGAGTCTGATTTTTTTTTTTTTTTAGAGGTGTCTTTTTTAGCGGGGCATGGCGTGGGCGGGGTTAACGCAGGCGGGGGCGCAGACGATAGGCCTAGGAACTTTTTAGGTGTAAATAGATGAAAATGCATTCATTCTTTTATAGTTTTTCTGTGAGGGTTGCACCTTGAAGGCTAGAACCAAAGCACAAGTTGATCATCTTTCAATTTTGAATCAATATAGTTGCAGTGATAGAAAGTGAAACAACGTATCTGTTGTTTTTCCTAAAGTAGAAAAAAAAGAGAACGAAACAAAGCATCTGTGTGGAAATGTGCCTAAAATGGTCTGGCATATCTTATACAGTTCAGTTATTTTTATTGTTTTTTACCATTTGTTCTTTTACCTTTGTTCACTGGGGATCATCTAGAACCAGCACTTGACTTGGTCAACCCTCAGCACATTCTATGATAAGCCTTGCACATCTCATAGGCCTTCCAGTTTACACCCTTTGATATTTTGGTAAGGATATGCAACTTCATCATACCACTATGAAACTGCTAAGATAGAACTCTTGCCCATTAAGAATTTGTATTTAAACTTGTTTGATATTTTCATGTTGCTATTTGAGGATAGAAATGTTGTATATGTTCTCATACAATGTGATGTGTTTTTCTCTTTTTTCCTTGTATAATAAACATTTGTGGAGAGTGTATCTAAATGCCCAAAGAATGGACTTTCACAACCCACTTAAAGCTCCAGAGAGGTGTGCTTGGCTATCTTCTGTTTTGCACAGTATTTTAGGGGTAACTTATTTTGGCTCGCAAAAAAAAAATCACAAGATAATATGTATTGACATCGACATTCGCGGAAGATAGCATGCTAGCAGAGCAGCGCTAGAATATGGCATTGAGGTCTTAGCGGTTAATCCTAAAATTCAAAGGGTAGAGATGTTTTACCAATCGTAGAGAACCACAAGAGCCTAAAGAGGATATTTAATTTAGTTTTATGATTTATTTTTTCTAGAAGTGTCGGGTTATAATCCCAGGATGTCTCAAGGCACCGATCAGTTAGCAGAACAAGCGGCCCACGATACATTAGCCGGCAAGAGCCTGAACGACCGAGGCCCAGCTGATCCAAGAAAACTAGGCCAAGTGTTAAGGCGGGGGTCGGCCATGACCCCTTCATCAGACTTAGCCATACGACGAGCAAGAGACTCACGACCTCGTCACCGCTCCGACCCCTAGGAGGAACGGGGAGGGGTCGAGCCTGACCAAGCGTGCCTGCTCTGATAAGAGTAGATACGCCGCACTGACCCCGCAAGGACTGAGGGGACAATGGTCACCTCGGTCCGGTCAGACGCCATCCCTGCGCCACGCAGTACGGACAAGACAACACCGCACGACGGTGGCTGTCAGTACGGTGACCCACCGTCTACATGCGGACCGACAAGATGCATGGACGGTTCTACCCACTACGGGATGGGATCCACGATGAAAGCCTTAACTTAGAGGCCATCCAGATCGGCGGGGCCATGACCCCAACGATCGAGATCGTGGCCCTCAGCTCCACAAGCCAACCGGGTGATCGACGACCTAGGGACAATCACCAACTCCTGTACGACGCCCCAAGAAACCAGGAGACGATGACGAAGACCACGGCAAAGAGCACGTCGCACAAGATGGTTGGCGAACCACCATCGTGCCTACAGTTTTGCCACAGGTGGCACAGTAGCACCACGCCACACCATGCCATGATGTGGCCACAGGACCATGACGATAACCACACCCAGACATGCACCACAAGATGGCGTAGCTTGCAGTCCTTTCTCACGCTCACAACCCTTCGGTTGAGAAAATCTTCTTCTTTGTACGTGCCCTGGCCCCAAACTCTATATAAGGGCAGCCAGGGCACCCATCTTGGGGATCAGAACTCATTCACTCATTCTTACACCATAGAAGTGTTCCTGAAGCTTCCCTTCGGGCGGCCCATCTCCTAGCTCTAGCTTTCCTACCTCTTCCATCATTCTTGCACCCCCATTGTAAAAACTTTAGAGCATTCAAGTGAGGAACACACACTCTATCATCTCTGAGACTGGACGTAGGAATCCAACCTAAACCAGTATAAATCTTCATGTCTTTTAGATGCTACCATCATCTTCCTAGAGCAGTGCGGCAATTGTATAAATTTACGAGTCCAATTTACAAAACATCGACAGTTGGCGCGCCTAGTAGGGGATAGTCGCGCACTTACGATTGTTGAAAAGAAAGCGATGACTCCTTGCACCGTCGGTGGACTCGCTCGTGGGATGGCCCACGGCGGCCACATCGGCCACAAAAACTATGAGTTCATCGGCATTGAAGGGTCAATACCCATGTCCACCTTCAGCCGCAGTCCAGACCTCTGCCCTTGAGATCTAGATCCTATGGTTCACGACGGACACACTCTCGAAACTGCCCACAGCGACAGCATCCCTGAGTTCACCTACATAGGGGGGCTAGTGCCCTGTCTTGTCATAGGTCATGGCCAAGTCTTCCACCTAGGAAGCCAGAGGTCCATGGCTCATGGCGGACTCACCCAGGGAATGGCCTCAACTGGTCACATCCTTCTGGGAAATCATGAGACTATCTATACCGGTGGGTCAACACCCATCACCAGCTTCTACCCCATCGAGGCCAACCACAAGGGAAGCCTAGATCTGGCAGTAGAACCACACCCCGAGCAGCATCTCCGCCACCAGTGGAGCGCCGTGTGTCAGGGCACACATGAACGATGAAATTACTCATCGCCACATGGC